GGAAATGTAGATAACGGTTTTATTAAAACTATCATCTATCTTGAGTCATTAAATCATAATTTTTTTATAATGGCAATAGAAAATTGGTTATCACTTATATTTTAAATCCTAATAAAAATATAATTCCCATTTAATTTTGAAACAAAATTGTCTTGCTCTCTCCTTATAGAAATCAGCCCCCACAGTTATTTATCCCTTGTGGGTGGTGCCCTACATAGTGTAGAAGAAAGATAAATTTTTTCTTTTTGTCTTTTTTTTCGATTTTTATTTAAATTCAAATTCAAACAAAGTCAGACTTTAATTTATTTTTAAATTTAATTGGATAACTTGTCAAACAAGTAAATGAGATAACTTAGACCAAGACTCTCTCAATTAATAAGGTTATAAAAAAATCTCATATATTCAATCTATATTAATTATCGTTATTTTGATTAAAAATATAATTAACTATGTAATTATATTTTATGAGTGTAACCCACTGTTTTAGATTCTGTAGACTTAACTCTTGAGTACTGCCGTAGGGTAAGTCAAATTCCACATCGTGCATGCGTTGGTGTTTGTGAAAATTTGAGTGCTTATTTTAACCCGTTTTGTCTCAGGTGTGCCCACACACACATCTTCATGGATTCTAAAAATTGACGTGAAAGACATTGATTTTTTAAACACAAGGCTTTGGAGCAAGGATTGTTCGAGGTCAAGGAACTCAGGTTATCATCCTAATCGGCCTCCATGTATTATTACTAATTGAGTTCTTAATAAATAAATTAATGTGATTAATTTATACGTGCATAAATTAATATAATTTATAGAGTATCTCAAATGTTTTATGAAATTTCTTTTTATACTTGATCCGCTATCCTCACGCTTCCGCATCCGAATTCGATTCGAAAACCAACAAGAAGTTGTTTATGAACTTTGATTTTGAGTCAAAGCACACTAATATGATACAATTGTACATAATTAAGCTAGATTATTTAGAGATAATGATTAAACTCTAAACTGAAGCTAGCGGCATGATAAGACTTGAAGCTTCAAAGACAAGTGAGGCTAGGACTACTTGAAGTTATCCGTAGAATTGACATCCGTGAGGTAAGATGTCCACATCCTTGTTAGCCTGTTTTAAATGTGTTTGGCCTATGAAAACGTTTTAAAGATAAAAATGTATTTGAAATTATTGAAATCTAAAGAAGAGTTTTATATGATATTTTTTTAAAATGAGATATTTTAAGAAATGGTAACAACGCTGATGGCCTAGAGATCGGGATCGTATCCTTGGAGGCAGGACCCGAAACTCGTACGGCTCACTACGGTGGTGTTTGGCCTTGCAATGCTTGTAAGTAATTTATCCTAACTTATAAATTACTTGATAATGCCTGAAACCGGAAATTTAAGTTTATTTTCCTTTCAAAAAATGGACGTTTGGTTCTGGATGACATGTTCAGACCATGTATTTTCATTTATTTATTCAGTTTTATAAAATTATATCTTACTGGGCCTTTCGCTCACTTTTCTTCTGTTTTAAATGTATTAAACCCCTCTCAAGCGACGTTAGAAGTAGTGGTGAGTGCCGGTGAGGTGAGCCGATCTCCAGAAGTGAAGAAATTATAATTTACCTCCCTCATTGCCACGTGTATTAAGGCATGTATAAATTATGGATTTTAACTTTAAACTTTACTAGACTGTGGTTGATGTCTGTAATTTACTTTTATGTATTGTTTATGTATGCACAATGTGGAAACCCTGTGGATGCCAGAGGCTGACTTTTGAAATTAATTTGACTCTGATTGTGGTTTTTGTAAAGTCCGCCTCACTCTTTTCTAAAACTCAATTTCCTTAAAATAGTAGGGTTTGTTTGAAAATTCTTATATATACATTATCTTTGACTTTGACTTTAGCTTAATTACTTTCTTAATCAGTGTTTAATTTCTAAACAAGCATCCATGTCACCAATCCCTGTTTGGGGGCGTGACAATATTGTACCTATGTGTGGGGGAATCTAGTTACCCGGAGAAGCAAGAAACAATCCGTAGTGGCTAGGAGTTGTGTAGTGTTAGATTTTAGAGTTATGACCCATGGAATTATTGAAGGAATGTGGCTGAAATGGTTACTTGGGGAGTTGAAAATTCCAATTGAAACTCCTATGAAAATGTTCTGTGATAATCAAGCTGCCATAAGCATTGCCAAAAATCTGGTCCATCATAAAAGGACTAAACATGTGGAGATAGATCGTCACTTCATCAAAGAAAAAATAGAGGAAGGAACTATCACTCTCATGTACACTCCAACAGGACTTCAAACAACGGATATTCTTACCAAGGCTTTGCCAAGAACTAGCTTTAAGGACTTGAGTTTCAAATTGTGTGTGATCAATATCTACGGCCCAACTTGAGGGAGAGTTGGAATTATAGTGTTGACTAAAGAATTTACAACTATAATATTACAACTTCACTAGTTTCCTTATTTAGAGGATTTGGGTAATCTACTACCCCATTCTTTTTTCTTGTAATTTATTTCTTGATTCGATTGAAGATTTCTCAACACAAATCCGGGATTATTTTCTATTTTTTGTTGGCTAGGGTTCCTATATATATGCTCTTGCTCTTGTAATGATTGAAATAGATAAATAGGAAATACGTTTTCCCATCAAAAACAAAAAAATGAGAAAAATTAAAATTTACCCTGGCCTAGGAGTTTAAAGCTTACCTATTAAAGTCGATCGGAGAGCTATACAAAGCTTACCTACGTCAAAGTTTTTCATTGGATTTCGAAGCTTTTTGGTTGGGGATAGTCACGAGCGGCCGGTTGGTTTTCAAGTGGAGGTAGCAGATTGAAGTGAGCAATGACAGCAAAGGCACCAATGCTGACGACAACGGGATGTAAAGTGACAGTGGCGAATGAACGAAGGTGGTAGTGATGGAGAAAATCCCAAATCCCCGATTACAAAAGAATCCCTAATTTCTTCTGCCCAAATTAGGTTAAATGCTACGGAGGACATATATGACGTATAATAAGAGAGTGAAGAGAATACGAGATTTAAACATCGTTCATTTTATTGATTTAAATTTTTAATTTTAATTTTATTACAGTTTAAAGATCTGTTCATTTCGCTGATTTGAGTTTTTTTACAGTAAAAAGCTCTCACAAACAATCACATCTAATTTTTTTACTACAGTAAAAAGTTTTCACATAAAGTCACATTTCAACTTAAATTCTAAACTCGAATCAGCGAAGTGAACGGGCCCTAAATTAGTGAATAGAACAAAGCGTTAGCAAATTTTGGAAAGATGTTTTAGTGGCACACAGATTCACAAACTCGTGTATTTGTTTTTTCATTTTTTTGGAAGGTTTTTAAAGATGGACAAAGACAAGTACGGCTTCGTATGTCATCTTTTACCATCACATATTAAAAACAGTGTAAAAAGTACAAAAAAAAACCTTTTTATTTTTTTTAGCATTTCTAAAGGATAACAATTAGTTCGATTTTATATATCTTTTCTCATATCATACGATAAAAACCGTAACACAAATAGTCTTTTTTTTTTTTTTTTAAAGGTTTTTCAAGACGGATAACAAATAGTGCGACTTTATTATTATTATTTTTTTGACATCATAGTGCGCGAGCCGTCTTTAAAAATACTACTCTAACATCAGTTAAGGAAAAAACTATAGTTATAAATGAAAAATTAAAGACGGCTAAAAATCAGTGCGACTTTATATATCTTTTTTTGACATCATAAAGAAAACCTCCATCTTCAAAAAAGAAAAATAACTTTTTTAATATTTTCTCAAAGGTTTTTAAAGACGAGTAATAAATAGAGCGACTTCATATATCTTTTTTAACATCATAAAGTGCAAACAGACTTTAGAAATAATAAACTTACATCAGTTAAGGAAGCGACCATTGTTAGAAATGAATAACTAAAGATGGTTTTCTAAAAACCAACTTAAATAATAGCAAAATACGAATCTCTCCGCCAGTTCTTCGCTTCTCTGTGTTTTTTTAGCATATTTAACAACGGGCTTTCAAAAAACCAATTTTAAAAAAAGAATCTCTCGTTGTGTTGGTCTCATTCATTTCACTGATTTAAATTTTTAATTTTAATTTTATTACAGTTAAAAGTTATTATATAAAGTTACATCTAATTTTTTTTTACTACAGTTAAAAACTCTCATATAAAATTAAATCTCAACTTAAATTAAAAACTCAAATTAATAAACTGAATGAGATCAAAATAATTTTTATAATAGGGACGGTTTCAACTAGTTTATGACGAATAAAAGAAAATCCAATACCCAACTCCAATGACTAATAGTTTAATAATAACAATAAACAAATACATATAAAATAAATAACGAATAAAGATAATACGTCATGGACAGTTGTATTGGGCAATCAGTTTCATCTTTTCTTTTTTTCTTCCTCTTTAACTCTAACAAACCTATCCCATCGTTGTCATTCCGAGCAAACTCGCATAAGAAAGCTCAACAGCTCGTTCATTTTATTAATTTAAATTTTTATAATAAAATTTTTTTAAAAAATATCACATTTAATTTTTTTTATTACAATAAATTTTTTTTTTAAAATATCATATCTCAATTCAAATTAAAAATTTAAATCCACAGAGTGAAAAAAATTCTATTTACCTTTCCCTTTGTGAGAGTGAGACTAAAGAAGGAATCTCTTCTTTTTCTCTTTCTCCCCAAGAAAAAGTTCATCACAGAGAACAACAACAGAACAATACTATTTCAAACCCAAGGCCACTAATCAAACATTTATCCAAAGATACAAACATACAATTATAATAATCAAACTCCAAACAGATCATTCCTTATACTAATAAAATATAGAAAAGAGATGGAAAAAAAAGAGAGATGAAAAATCAAGGAACTCCATCAAAGAGGCCTGTTCTCTTTTGTGGGTCCCACTTGGACCATCTTCCTTTTGTCCCTTTAAAATGGATAAGCACTCGAAAAAAAAAATAAAAACAACAATTGTGTGTCAATATGCGAATAAGATGTATTCCTTGCTTACGGGGTTCAATTTTCACCGCTCTAAACAAGCAAAGAAGACACCCATTAAGAATGAGAGTGAAATTCCACACTAAACTCCATGAAAGCCACCATCTTTGATACAACTATTCAAACACCCACAGCTCAGAATCCCTTATTTAAAAGAAATTGCTGAAAAATCTTCACTTTTTCCACTAACCCAGAAAGCCAAAAAGAAAAAAAAAATGGATTTTGATGAGTGGGAGTTCATCCCTGCTGATGGTTTCCTCGATTTCTGTGAAGATGGGGTGAAGAAGAAGATCCATTACAGCAACTGGGGTTCTGATCCAAAGGGTGTTTTTGACATGAATTATTTCGATTGCCCATTACAAGATTCCAGGAAAACCACCACAAGAAGAGAAAATCCAAGACCTCCTAGTCAGCTTGTTCCTGTTCCAATAATCCCAGTTCATCTGAATCCAACGGTTGGAAAATCATCCCTAGCAGATGATCATGATCAATTGGAGAAAGAAATCACAGACGAAGCTGGAGAAGCTGATCAGGATTCCGTTTCCCAAGTCTTCTTCAAGAAAATGAAGAAGGAAAATGAATTTGTCGACACGATGAAGGTGGACTCACCAAAGTCCCCTACAACCACCAGTAGAGGATTCATGCCTCAAATTGATGCTTCCACGTTTGAGTTTGATGAGGACAAGGAGGAAGGATTGAGATCCAAGGAAGGCACAAAGAGCTTAGAGGGAGAGAATAGTTGTGATGATGATGGTCTTAGTATATGGAAATTGGGCCTCACTGGGATTGGAGCCATTTGCTCTTTTGGTGTTGCTGCTGCCACAATTTGCGTTCTTTTTTTTGGGAGTCACCAAAAGAATCAGCAGAGCAGCCACAAGATCAGGTTTCAGCTTTACAATGATGACAAGGTCAGACCAAAAAAACCAGAACCCCAATTTTTTTTTTCTTGTTATTATATTTTTTATTATCAAATTTGATAAATGCCCAGTTGGATTTATGTATATCAAATATTAGTTTTTTCTCCATTTTTTCTTGTTGACTAATTTGGCAGGAGCCTAAAAAGAGCAATATAATGTGTTGTAATATGATTCGGAGAGAATTAAGTCTCTAATATGTTCTTTTTCCAAATTTGATAAATGCCCAGTTGGATTTATGGATGAAATATTAGTTTCTTCACCCTTTTTGGCCAATGCAGAAACGAATAGAAATTTTCAGATCATTGGTCTATGATGAGAAAATTCTATGAGAGCATTAACCGTATAGTTCTCGACCATTAGATCTTTCTCGATTTTCTTTAAATCTACATGTTTTTTCTATTTTGTTTTGATGTGATTCTGATTTGATCTAATTTCCATAAAAGGTATAGAGCACTGGTATAGAATCCACCATAGACATTACCGAAGATGTGTTTTGTCTACTTAATTAAAGCCTCAACTCTTTGGTTTGCAGAGGATGGAGCAAGTGGTACAACATGCTACAAAGTTCAATGACGCATTTACAGCAGCTAGAGGAGTGCCTCTTACCAGATCTGCTCATGTAACCTTTGGTGGTTACTATGAAGGCCTTTAAATTAATATCTAAAGTTGATGTATGTGCTATGCCAGTTTTACCATATATATATATATACTTATATATATATATATATATATATATTTAAGGTATCTATGTTGTACATAGTTTGTATGGAACATTTGTATAGATTCTAAGCCTTTAAGCTCCTACAACTGCTGCTCTGTCAATTATTAAACCAAGAATTTTGTAGTGGTGTACAACAAAATACCTTACTGCTAGTGTACTGTTTGTTACGATCAGATTACATCAAAATTGTGTCAAGAGGAGAAAAGTAAACAATTTTAATGGAATTTGATGAAAATCTGACGGTATAAGATTATGCACTAGTGAAAAGATATTTATTTTATACAATACTACAAATTCTCCTTATTATATTTCAGGTTTCAGATGTTTGAGGCACTCAAAGGTTTGTTTCGTGGTGTTTTGTGGGATCTGGTAGTGGCAGGCAGTGACTAATACATTTATCCTTCGCAAGAATAGTAAAAATAGTGACTACATTTTCAATTCCAATAATTGTTCTGTAGACAAAAGAGTATACCATTGGGCTGTATCACGTTTCTTATAAATGTTTCAATCTTGTCTTATAAAGGGAAATGTGATTCTAGATCATCTCTCATTTTACCGTAGAACTTTGAATCTTGTTGATAGAGTTTTAAAATCTATAAACCTTTTTTTCTTTTTTTGGCAGAAATAAACTCATTTACAGATTATCTCTTACTTCAATTGTAATATATATTTTCTCCTTTTGGATGATTTTCGTTATCAACAATGCCCTATCTTTCTGTTCGCAAGAGATTAATAAAAACAAGGAAACTTTTATGGTAGAAATTTTTATTTTACTCTTAACGATAACAACTTTCGTTTTAGCTGTTGTTTTAGTTTTTCAAATGTTTTATCTATGAGCAGGAGCAATTCTGTGTTGTTTACTGTAAGTATTTAATGTAAACGTCCACAAATTCAACCGTTAAAAAAAAAAAAAAAGATCAAATTGTTAAAAATAACAGTTTCTGCGGTAGGGTAAAATAGCAACGTAAGAGATTCCTAAAAACAAAAATAGAAATAGAAAATCTCATATTCAGTACCTAGTTTCTCTTATTTGCTAATATTCCATTTTAGAAATTACGATCAAAGTGGTTCTCATCACAATGCAAAGATTGGTCATCTTGAATATTCATTTTTGGTTAAGGGAGCACATAAATTTGCTTGGCCCTTTTAGATATTTTTTTGCCAGAAACGAACACCTATAAAATGATTGATTGAACACCAGGACCCATCCAAATGAATGATATTTATTGAGTCGGGACACACCACAAGGCACCAGAGAAATATTGCACCCACATTTTGATTAAGACCAATAAGAATTCCAAACATTTTTCCAATCTTCAAAACTGGTGATCTGTGCTTCACAAGAAGATTCATGATTTGACATCTTTCTTTGGAGTTATGTTTTGGATACCATGCATGTTGTTGCTACCTTCAAGCTATCAGCTACCAAGTTGACTTGGCCATGTGGATGACCCTTCTTTTAACTCTTGCGTTTAAAGGGGAAAAAAAATGATTGGCAAAGTACTAGAAAAACTACCATGTTATGAACGAAACTATTAATTCTTTATCATGTTTCGTTAATAAAGTACTTTTTACACTCCATCACACAGGTTGTATTTAAAATTGATCCCATTTTTATGTTTTATGTTTTTCAAAAAAAAAAAAAAAAATTTTTAAAACGGTATTTCGTGCAATAAAGATAAAAAATGAAAATGAAAATAATTTTTTAGTTTTGTGTAAAATGAGAGAGAAATGAAAAATGACTTTTAGTCGTTTTTTATTTTTTATTTTCGTTTTCTCATCTCTCAAGTAGAAAGAGAGACATTAATAAGTTTTTTTTTACACTGAAAATAATCTCTTGATAAAATTATCAAACGCATTTTTAAAAATATTTCTATCTAAGATTGAAAACGTTTTCATTTTCATTTTCATACAAAAAATAAAATAATTTTGGAATGATTTCCAAATGCGCCCATAATTTCGTAAGAAAATAGAAAATGAGACAAATATCATTTAAAGTGAACATGATTCGAATCATAGTTCGTGACTCGTTACAGTATTTTCTCTCATAAAAAACACACATAAAATGATAATGTTTTTAAATTATAGTTCTAAATTTATGAATCAAACAGAAGTATTCTTTGCTTTGTACTCTTCTTTTGTCCTTTTTTTTTTTTTTTTGGTGGTTTCAATTTTGCTGTAGTATGAACACAGCTTGTTGGTGCCTTTACTTCCACTCCACATATATGTTCATTCTAAGTAAACTTGCGTTGTACAAAGGTTTACCACACTTCGTTCCCTAGCCTATCGGCATAAAAATTAATAATTTAGGATATATTTATTTGATTTTGTTAGAATACCGTATTATATAATAATACATTAATATAATGTTTAGTGTGATAATCGTATCGTATAAACTAATATATAAGGTAAATTAATACAGTTTATGTCGTATGATTGAACTCATTTTTAGTCTATTATACCCTAAAACTTTTAAAAAATTATATTTTGATCCCAAATTTTTTTGAAAAATTACATTTTGACATAAAATTTTTAAAGTTTTAGATTTTTTGCACCTTATACAATACTGTATGTTGATACCAGAATTTCTCACACATCGATGGCCCACCGGCGAAGTATTGTCCCCACTTGGGCCCGCTGTGACGGGTGGGGTTTTGTCCCTTCGTAAAAGGCGCCTCGCTGGATGGAGGGGTCGGCACTTCGGGACTTTGTCCCTCTCCTGGCCCCACTAACCACCGAGGTATTGTCTCCACTTATGCCCAATGGATGGGGGAGTTTTGTCTCCCTTGAGAGCGCCTCGCTGGATGGAGGGGTCGGCACTTCGGGACTTTGTCCCTCTCTTGGCCCCACCAACCATCGAGGTATTGTCTCCACTTATGCCCAATGGATGGGGGAATTTTGTCTCCCTTGAGAGCGCCTGCTCCCGGCGCTTCCGCCCTTTGAGCGATGGGCTCACCTCTGGCCTGACCGCCCGCCTGCACCGACCCTGAGTCTCCTGGCCGGTTTCCTCCGGGATTTTGGGGCAGTTCCTTGATGGCTCGGATTCCAGCGGCTCTCAAACGGCTGCCGGAGGAATGGGAGGGTCGAGGCCTAGGAGGGCCCTGGTGGTTCTCGCTTTCCCCGGTCCCTTCTTGGATATGCGGGCGGTTACCGTGATTCGGATTTTCCATCATGGCAGGGGCCCGTGGTCTTGGGGCATCCTCTAGTGGCGGCATGGAGTTCCTTCCGTCTAATCGTTCTACCACGGTTACTAGCCCACGTATAAACTCGGTCAAAGTGGCTATTTGGGCTTGCATCTGCATCGGACCCGGCCGCGGTGCGTCGGGAGCTGTTGGTTCAGTTGTATCAACAGTTGGTGACTCCACTGGGGACGTTTGGCCACGGCCTGCCTCCTCAGTCCCCCCGACTCGGGGGGCACTGTTGTGCCAAGAGTCCCACATCGGTTGGAGACGGGGGCCTGGAAAGGTATAAGTACCCCAGGTTCAACCCCTCCTACCAGCGAGGCACTCTCAAGGGAGACAAAACTCCCCCATCCATTGGGCATAAGTGGAGACAATACCTCGGTGGTTGGTGGGGCCAGGAGAGGGACAAAGTCCCGAAGTGCCGACCCCTCCATCCAGCGAGGCGCCTTTTATGAAGGGACGAAACCCCACCCGTCACGGCGGGTCCAAGTGGGGACAATACTTCGCCGGTAGGCCATCGGTGTGTGAGAAATTATGGTATCAACACTGTACATGCTAACAAACATGACCTAAATGAATAACAAAGAGAGCAAATATAAGTGTATATAAATAAAAGAAAAAAAAACAACACAACGATACTTCAAGATCTTGTCAACCAGAGCACGAAGTTTTTTCAATAGGGGCACTATAAAAAGAACTAGAGATGATATTTTTTTGATGAGAGACATAGTTATATATTTCAATTATTAAATGGAACACAATTATAATTTTTCTTATATAATAAAGGTGTTGGATGAGATTTTTTGCAAGAATATATTTCTGCTGTTGCAATACCACGTGGCTTGTGGAGTATCCAAACACCAATAGGTCGAATGTCGGAGGACCCAAGCAACCTAACACCCGAAGATCCAAAGCACTTGAGTATCCGAGTATCCTAGCACTCAAGTGTAGAATCTAAGCATTAAAGTTTCCAGGCATTAATATTTGATTAAAAGGATGAAGCGTGAAGATCACATAGACATCCTGACATTGTATAAAGGTACAGTTATATATATATATTAAGAGTATGATTCTTATATGTATAGATTTATTATTTAAAGATAGAGAATTTATAGCTCTTATTAAAAGAGTTCATAATATCCTCTTATGATATTATTCAGGGATTGAAAAACATAAGTGCTCAGCCATTAGACTACTTTGTGTTATCTAATAGTTTATTATTTCTATTGGTATGAATAGTGATTTTCTGATGGAGTGGTAATGGAACATGTTGGGAATGGTGTCTTAAAAGCTTGGATTGAACAAAAGTTGAGTTGTTTTAATTAATAATTCCGTTTGAATAAAACAATTTATTTTTGACTAACTATATGTTATCATCTCAATCTTGAGATGAATAATAAACTCATATACTTGACTTGTACCTTTTGATGTGCCAAAGAGAGACATTCTGACATTGTATAAAGGTACGCTTACCGGTACGTTGGGAGTATGACTCTTGTATGCATAGATTTATTATTCATAGATGGGGATTAGAAAACATGATCGCTCAGCCATTAGACTACTTTGTGTTATTTAATAGTTTAATACTTGTATTGGTACGAATAGTGGTTTTGTGATGGAGTGATAATGGAACACGTTGAGAATAGTGTCCTAAAAATATGAGATGTGATAGGATATTTATTATTTATTTAATAAAAAAGTTTATTCATTATTTTATGTGCATATATTATTGAATATTTTATGAATATCATTGAAAATTCTATGATTATTTATGTGACCTTAAATATTGTATATAAGTGTTATATGCGAGAGGATAATATTTAAGGATAATAATCAAAATAATACTCCTAATGAATTAAGTTAAAGCTCAGAATCTTTAATTACAATATTACTAATACATGTCATTCCCATTTAAAATGAAACGATATTATCATTTATCAGCACTGTTAATATAGTGGGATATTGAATGAGTGTATTACGCATAATGAGATTATGTAGAACTAGGACACAGACACAATATGAATTTCTAATAATTTATGTTAAGTATAGAAATTCTAATTGAGTATACCAATAGTCATATATAGAATGATCTTAATCTTGAGTTATTAGCAGAATCCTATTTACGAATTTGTGTCTTTTGATTTACTCCGTACGGATTCTGAGATGCTGAATCTTATTCCTTGTATCTTGGAGACATAATGAAATAGGTAGCCGGGAATATTAATACACAAGATTGAATTCATTCTTTCTTGAGAAAGAGGCAGATAAATAATTTTCTTAAGTGTTGATTCGGTACTTGGATTAGTAGGAGCTCAGATTCATGAATTTGTTTTATAGATCACTATCCATTAAAGAATCAATAGTACTCAATGATAAATATGTAATTAGAGAGGTTAACAGATTTCACCTAGCTCTAATTATGAATTATTTATAGGTGATTAATCTATATGTAATGACCATATCAAATGGTCACTTCAGAGTTTGGAAGTAAATTATATTTATAATTGCGAGAGTGCAATTCTAAATTTATAGTAGAGTAACTCTGGATTTAATAGAATTAATTAATTAATTAATTAAAGAGTTTTAATTAATTATTAATTTTATTAGAGCTCAAAATTATAGGTCCATGAGTTTATGCGTCGTCATTGTAATTCTACAAGACACTAAGGGCAAAATGAAAATTTTAGAATTAGAGAATTATAAATAAAGCACTCAAGAATAATTAATTATAAATTAATTATAAATTAAATAATGTGATTATTCAATATTTGAAGTTTAGAACACACACTATAGTGGGACCACAGTGCCACACGCCTAGTGTAGGTAGAATCACTTTGGGATTCGGTTGCTTACTCTCTAACTTATCCAATTGGCTTATTAGATAACTTATCCAATTAGAATTCAAATTGATTAGAGTTTGAATTTAATTAGAATTTGAATTTGAGTTAAAATTAGACTACAGGATAAATGATAATTTTTTTCTCCTTCCCTTATCAGTAATTTGCGCCAACCACAGGGGATAAAGTCTTTGTGGTGGCAAGCCAAGGATAAGAGAAAGAGAGAGGATTTTGTTTCCAAAATAAAAATAGAAGTAAGATAATTATCAAGCTTTATCTTGGAGATAAGGATAAGATTTCTTCTAGGAGTCTGTGTCATGCCCCCAAACAGGGGTTAGTGACGTGGATGATTGTTTAGAAATTAAACTTGATTAAGAAAGTGATTAAACGATTAACAGTTCAAAATTTGATTTCAAATCTGAAATAATCAGGTATTTCTAAACAGACCCCACTATTTTAAGGAAATTGAGTTTTTAGAAAAAGTGAGGCGAGCTTTACGAAACACAGTTACTATTAAGATCACCATCAAAAGTCAGCCTCTGACATCCACAAGGTTTACACTTGTGCATTCATAAATAAGTATAGAAAAGTAAATAACTGACATCAACCACTGTCTAGTAGAATTTAATATTTACAATTCATAGTTAATGCATGCCTTAATTGAATTTGATAATGAAAAAAAAAAATTCTTCACCGTTTCCTTTTTTCTAGAACTGAGTTCCTCACTTATTCTGTGCTACTTCTAGCGTCGACTGGGTGGGGTTAAATACATATGAAACATAGGAAAAATGAGCGAAAGACCCAGTATGATAAAGTTTATAAAACTGAATAAATGAAATGAAATAATCAGGCCTGAAAGAAATAAATCGGAACCAAACAACCTTTTTTTGAAAGGTAAATAAAATTAAGTTCTTACTTACAGGCAACCATCAAGTAATTTAATGATAAATTACTTATGACAAAAATCAAGGTCTTATCACCACTGTAGTGGCTCGTCCGGATTTCGGGTTCTGCCCCTAAGGATACGATCTTCATATCCTGTCTAGGCCATCAGCGGGCTTACCAGTTCGCAAGATATCTTATCTTAAGAACATATTCATTAAAATTTGAAATCAGTTCATTATGAGATCAATAGCAATAATCAAGTTATTGTCTTTAAACACTTTTCTTTATCAAACGTGTTTTTATCTTGAAAAACATTTACAACAGCCAAAATACTTTAAAACATACTAACAAGGATATGAGAAGAATATCCTACCTCTCGGATGTCAAACCTGTAGCTAACTTTTGTCACCCTAACCTCAACTTTCCTTAAAACTTTAATACTCGATCTTCTCCACTAGTTTTATCACAAAAGCAATGTCTTAGGATATATTTCTCATTCTTAAAACGAATTAAGCTCAATCATGTCTAATTGTTTCCTATTAGTGTGCCTTGACTCAAATCTAAGTTTCACAAACGACTTTATAATTCAATTTGAGGGTTCTTTAAAAATTGAAATCCAATTCATGGGTTTGGTTTCCCATTTAATTTCAGCTTAAAAATAAGTTTTTAAAGAAATTTCGATAGCATGCTGACATAAATAGAGAAAATACCAAACCTTCAATTCAAGTTCAATTTCAAAATAAATTCTCCAGAAATCATCAAAACTAGTTTCTAATCAATTTAACAAGTCCAATAATTGAAAACCCCAAATTTAATTCAATTCTATCAATAATTGTTCAAATTCAAATCCTAACTCAAAATTATTCAAATCTAACCAAAATTATAAATTTTCAAATCAATAACTTAAATTTAAGTATGGGTTTTCAAGAAATCTTTACCTCAAAGTGATTGAAGCTCGTTTTTCTCTATTTCTCTCATTTTTGTTTTTGTTCTTTTTTTGAGTGTCTCGGCCAAACAGCCGAGTGAGAGAGAGAGACACTGGTGGGAGAGAGAGCGCCCGGAGAGGAAGTGGCCGGTGGTGGAAGAAAAAGGGGGAAAGAGAGAGAGGTGTGTTGCGGTGGTGAACCAGAGGAGAGAGAGTGAGGGATATAGGAAAAAGAAAGAAATAAAGAAAGCAAGAGAGAGAGAAAAGCCACGGAGGGAAGGAAGAAAAGGGAAAAAAAGAAAAGAAAAAAGAAAAGAAAAAAGAAAAGAAAAGAAAAAAAAAGGAAAGAGGAAAATACATTAAAATTTAAGTGTATTTTTAAAAACTTTTGGCGTGAAATCATAAATACTGAAAATAATTTAAAGTTCTTTGATTAATTGAGAAAATCAAATTAGGCACACTAATAACTCACAATTTAGCATAATTAAACATGTTTAACTCTGGAGGGCGTTACAGTCTGACAGCTACTCTATAAATAGCATAATTTCATTTATTTTTGCTTTCAATAAAATAATTCACTGTTGTTCATGAATATTTTTTCTTTTATTTTGTCAATATTTGAATTGTGTAGAAGGCCTAAATTGAAACCCAAGAATGAAATAATTAGTAATAACTTCTTGTGATAGAAACTGTAAAATGTGTGTGATATCGAACGACAATGATAGGACTTGCGTGAACAATTAAGAGAATTATAGAGTGTAATAAATTTCTAGAATAGAGGAATTCACGTCGAGTGATAGTGGATTTACATGCTGCGAATATGTTTGATAACATCCCAGGATGACTATTAAGTAATTTAAGGTTACCCATTTTATACATGAATAATAAGCGATGTTAGTGAGGACAATAAATTAAGTCAGATTAATTTTGGGGAAATCAATTGCCCTAATTTTTGTTTATTTGAGTTTTCATTTATATTTTGTTTTATTATTTTTCTATTTTATTTTAGACTGTTCAAATAATTTTAAAGTTGATCAATCTCAATAATTAATTATAGTTAACACAATCCTTGAAGAAATAATACTTTATTCATCATTTTATTAGTTGTAGTTGTATGTGATATTGTGCACTTGTAGTTTTCACAATAAAATGACAAAATTAGAAAAGAAATTATTTAAAACTAAAAATGACCTAATAATTTTTAATAAATTTTGATAAATAGGTATTTACTTCCACAAGTTTGATAAGTTGACCTATTTCCCTATTAACATAAAACGGGGCGGATTACCGCCCGTCCGTGACCCGGATTAAATGCCCCATTTAAATCCTCGGCTAGACTAGTCACTAGACCAGAATCAGATCATAAAACCCTAGTAGCACCACCATATATAGCAGGCCGTTCTTGGCTCAAGTTCCCTGCTAAACCCAAAACCCTAATCATATCGACCTCTCTCTCTTTCTCAGATTCATTTTGATTAGGGTTTCTCTTGAATTTGAGTGAAGCATCTGAAGATCTTCGAATCGAATCCCCAATCACGACGATCGATGCCAATCAGTAACTGCAGACAATGATCCTGAAATGGCACTGGGAGGAGTAGCCAGTATTTGTTTGAAGAAATTATTGCAAAATGGTCGCTACATTACTTGTGATTTACTTTGCACGTTATACACATTTGTTTTCCCACTGAATTTCAATGTTCTTATAGGAGGATAAAACTAGGAGAAGAAACATCTATAGCCCATCTGTGACCTTTGATTGGATATCTCAAATTTAAGAAAATGTTGCAATCTCTTTGTGCATTATAGTTGTAATACATGCGTGTGTATGTGCAATGAATTAATGTCTATACATCTTAAGATGTATTATATGGCGACTAATCAACATGTTTTCTGAGTTTGCCCTTTTGAGTAGCCACATGAATAAAATTTCATGTACGGTTTAGTTAGGGGGCAGAGACTAATTGATTGGAAAGGAGATCATAGTGGTCTTTTTTTTCATTGGAATTAAGACCTTCCATAGGGACTTTCTTGTTTATTCCCGTTGTTAGTTCCCTATGAGGCCTTGGACATTTTCTTTTCTATTCATTTTAGTTTTCCTTGCATTTTCTCATTACTAGTTTTTTTTTTTTTTTTTTTTTTTTTTTTTTTTTTTTTTTTTTTTCCATTTATTGATATTTTCGATGCCTCCAGAATAACCAGAAGGTGAAACTGTGATGGAATACCATTTGGTTCAGACAGAGGCGGATAGATCTTGAAGCAGGTTGAGAGTGTGGAACAGAAATTTATTGTTCCTTTTCCTACCATAGTTTCATATATTTGTTTTAGCATTTGAAAGTGATTGTCTATTAGGGGTAGTAGGGATATAATTAATTTCTCTGTGGCTTCAATTGAAAAAACAAAATCAGACGCACAAAAACCGGAAGGTGTATTAAATGACATCATCTGGTCCTGACAGAGGCTCAAAATAAGATGGATTAACTCTCCCGGATCAGTTTGAGGGTTAGGAGCAAGTAGATTTATGTTCCTTTCCTATAGGTAGCTTCGGATATGCGTACTTGTGTATCTAAATGCTAATTATGTTTATGTGTAGCAAATGTGTTTTTATTTATATATTTTTTTTCCTTCTCTGAACTTTGATAGAGAAGTCATCTGATGATGATATGGAAGGGGAAGGGAGATAGAGCACGAGAAGGGAGATAGAACACAAGCTGTTTCAAACAGAAGCTAACATAAAGTTTTGTCCTGAATAATCTTAATGAAACAAACATCTTTATTGCCTTTTTGCTGCTCTTTTCTTATCCGGATTCAGATACTAAAATCACTCGGGGATTTCTTTTATTCTCTCATTTGCTTTTTATTTAAAAACAAAACTCGTGTCGTGTACTAGGTTCCCCCACCACACATTATGGTTTCTTTTTTCTTTCTCCCCTTTTTTTCGTAAATCATGGTGTTTACCAGATTGAGGTTGTTACTAATTCCGATTGATATAAGGTTTGGGAACTAATTTTGTCCCTTAAAGAAGGGTGTATGATAATTGGATGCATGTTATCATTTTCTTAGATAAAAGTCATGGAAGAAAACCTTAATTTGAGTTCTTAGAAAGATGCCAGTGCCTCTCTGGTTTGGTATTTTCTCCTTCCTCTATATTCATACGTGCATGCATTTGCACTAGACGTGCAACTAGCATAAGTTGTGAGTTTGCCCCTTTGAGTAGCTGTATGAAGTAAAATAATAGTTTCATAACGGCTTAGTTAGGGGGCGGAGATTAATTGATTGAGAGGAGAGCGTGTTGCTCTTTTTTCTATTAAAACCGAGGCCTTTTGAGGGGACTTTCTAGTTGATTTTGGTGTCGATTGTCCTCCAAGCAGCCTTGGACATTGTCGTTCATTTTCTACATTGTAAGCTATTCCAGATTTCATAGTTGGATTACCTCATGAATAAGGGCCGTTCACTTTGTAGATCACACTCGAGTAAGCTCAACTTGGGTGTGAAATTGAGCAGAGTTATGCGCTCATTAAATGTAACTCGAATTTCAAACTCGAGTAATAACTCGAGTTGGTGAGTTTCACCCACCCCTTGTTCTCTCATTACTCAAGTTTGATTCTACAGTGCGGATTGTGTCTGCAGAAAATGATACTTATTTGTAATTGGAGTTTAGTTTTAGTACAAGTGAACTCAAAACTCAAGTTTTAAATGTTAAATTACTCTCCTCCTAAACACTTAACTGTCATTCATTTTCTACATTGTAAGCTATTCCACATTTCGTAGTTGGATTGCCTCCCGAATAACCAAAGGGTGGAATTTTGATACGACACCATTTGGTTCAGACAGAGGCAGATAGCATCTTGAAGCGGTTTGAGGGTGGGGAACCTTTTTATGTTCTTTTCCTAGACAGCTTCGTATATTTGATTTGTTTTGCATTAATTTATTTTTGCATAAAAGGCAACTTATAGTAGTGCAAAGTATTTTGCATTCCCAGCTTTACACAGAATATCTTCCCTTCATACATAAACCATTTTCTGTTTGTTCACAGGGGTTGAGAGAGGAGTGTTCGTAGGATATCAAGTTATATACGTTCTTGATGGAAAGGGAGTTAGTGGAGGTCTCGGAGTTGGTATCCTCTCCGGAGAGGTTTTAAATAGAGGGTGTGGAAGTTAGATAGTTTTATTTAGGTCTTGTTCATTTTACCGATTCGAGTTTAGAATTCGAGTTTTGTTACAATTAAAAACTCTTAGAAACAGTCACATTTAATTTTTTGCGTAAAAAGTCTTATCATAAAGTTACATCTCAACTCGAATCAGCGAACTAAACGGACCCTCAGTATTTGTGTTTACTAACAAGAATTTTTACTGACAATATGGCCTTAGTTGGCATGACTCGATCTACGGTTACTAATACTGTTGCAGCAGAGCATTTTCTGTTTTGTTAGAAGACTGAATTAGTCGTTACTATTGCTTTTAGTTTTTAATCACGATTTTCCTCGTATTAATTTAACTAATCTCTAAACTAATTGCTGATTTAAATGAAAATTATACATTTTGTTATTACATGAAATCTTCTCTTATATCTTTCTTTCATCTTGCAGTTTACCAAGATTGTATAATTCTGGAAATTCCGGCTCATGAGATATTCTTGTATATAATAAATCTCAATTTAATATTTTGATCATGCAATAAAATAACTCTTAGTTTAACACAGTTTAACAAATTAACGGGAAATTCATTACGGATAAATTCACGGATTCATAGACATTAAAAATGGTTATAAAAAAACACTCCATTTAAAAAAAAAGAGAGAATGTATACACTATCAATTATCAAATGCAATCATTTGACAGAGTTGTATAAGAGCGGAAAGACAACTTTTTTTTTTTTTGTTTTTTTGAAAATTCAATAGCCAATAATGGTGCAATTTTATCATAAAATTTTTAATAAAAAAAAGAAAAAGAAAAAAAGAATTGAGGTTCCCATATCCCAATAAAGAACTGTGGCGGTTGGGGAAAGACAGCCTAAGGCTTAGAAGAGAATGGGACCCCGAAACAAAGGAAGCAAGAAAGAAGAAACAATTAAATAAAGAAAAGGCCAATACAACCGTTGGCAACAGCTGTGTGGCAACCTGGAAGCATGTGCATTTGGTTGGAGCAACGGTCTTCCAGGGCAGCCTGTCCCATGCCCAAACACACCCACCCCCACCAATCTCTCTCTCTCTCTCTCTTCTCTCTCTCTCCTCCAACACCTATATAAGCCCCACCATTGCCCTAAACAACGACCCATCTGAAATTTTTGCAACATTTTCTTTTCCCCCTGCTCACTTTCCCGGAAATCTTTCTCCAGCTAACAAAAATTCTCAACAATGGAGGCCATTAGGATGAGGCTTTTCTTCGCATTGGCGGTCGCAGTAATGGCCGTCTCAGCTGTGCAAAATGTTGCCGCTGCTGATGCCCCGGCTCCTAGCCCCGCGTCTGATGCTACCAACTTTGTGCCCGCCATGCTTGCTTCACTTGGTGCTGTTGCGATGGGGCTTTTCTTCTAAACAAATGTTCATTCGCTTTGATGTGTTCATGTAAATGTTTTTCTTCTTTTTCTTCTTCTCCAATTCTCATATGGGATTAAATTATTTATTTGGGGTTGAGAAGGAGAGGAGACTTATTTTTGGAACTCTTTTGCTTGCGTTTTGATGATTTTTGTATTTTTTTTTTGACGCCTCATTTTGGGGTTTGTCAAACACATTCTTCTTGTAAGATTTATTTCTCTAATGTGATTATTGCATCTCTTGGTTTGTGACTCGTGGATTATGATAACTGTGATTTGGTTATTGAATTTAGATTCGACATGGAAAATGGTTAGTATAGGCTAACCATTAAAGCCGAATTTCATAAAAAGTTCGCCCACAGAATACAAAAAAAATGAACACATGCAATCTAGTTTTATCGAATCCCTTAAATGAAACCTCATATTCATTGTGCTTTTAACTGCATGTGCACACATTAAAATGAAAAGATAAAAGAAGAACTGTAAAAATTGATTGAGAATTTAGAATAAAAGCAAAGACCATTGATGCTCTAATTTTCATTAATGCACAAAGGTTATTTCTTTTCCACAGTTTTCCCTCAAGGAGATGGTTTTAATTGAACATTTTCCATTTCACCTCTTCTTTATTATCACTTCAGAGAGAAATGGAAAACAATAGAAACAGCGAGTTCCAAATATAAACTTTGGTGCTATATTCGGGGATGGTTTGAGTGCTAATAAACCAGGTTCTTGATTATGTCTCTTAACAAGTTGCGTAACTCTCAAACATCCAAAATTTTGAGTAACAATAAAAACATCTTCTCGTACTTGACTTTTTCTTTGCCATACTTACCATACAAACAGTGGCAATACTATATTACACAATTAAACAACTAATTTCTTCCTTATCTCCACTCTCCCTAATGGTAGAACTATGATAATCATCCAAAATTATCCTAAGCACCTCCCTCTCTCTTGGGGGTCGGAATTTAGCAGAACGCTTCAAATATATCTTCATTTTCTTCACTTTCTACAGCCATCCTATCTCTTTGATCCTTCCACGTTCTCCGCCGTGGCCGGCCCTTTCTCCCTCTTCCGACCATTTAACTCGAATGAAATGATAATAACCTCGTCATTTCCATTTATATCACAAGAATTTAGAAAGAAATGGGGATTATAAGATACTGTAAACTTCTGTAAGCATATATATTTTCACATAAATATTCTTTGGTGTAGCAACTCATCCCTGTTCAATCTCTCAAAGTATGAAACACGCAAGAATCATTTATATAATCTTTCTTTTCTGTAGTGTGACACTATATGTACATTAGTTTGTGTGCGGAATATGAAATGTTACTTACATGAGACAATTTGGACATGAAATAGTCATCTGAGTGACTACACCGTGAATGCCAATATAGCTAGTCCACCAGAATATACGAGAAAGAAACAAAAAAAAAAAAAAGAAAAGAAAAGAGGAGCATCTGAGCAGATTTTTCTCGTTTTCTCCTTTCCCTCCAGATTTTTTATCTATTCACCAGCTTCTAGTCTAATTTCTCGTCTCAGCCAACACATATGATGCACATTGCAAGAACCTGCAATCACAGAAAGAATGGTAAAACTTCAGAAGGGAGAATTCTCTAAATTTACTACTCCTGTGAGAAGCAATTCATACAGTATTCTCCTCTGTTTCAAGCAGCCTGAACGGATTGAAAAACCAAATTTGAAAAAGCAAAAGGAAAGTCTATCCTCAATCAAAAATATTCAAAAGAGAATTTCGAAACAAGCCTCGGTGAAAAGCAAAGAGAGGATCAAGTGGGCATCCCCATAATGTGGGAACGACCAAAATGCGATCAATACAACCAAAACCACACCTGTACCCAAGTCATTTTGCAAGGTTTAATCAGAGATCTAAGGCACGCTGTCATCTGGTTCTTCTGTACAAGAATAGGAACAAATACAATGCAAAAGGGATTGTCTGGTCTTTCTAAAAGCACGTTGCTCTGGGGTGATCATTATTTCTTCTTTCCCTGTTTTGAGTAATTAACATTTGAATCCTCATGAAATGTGCCCTGAACTAATTACAAGTAAGAGTTACAATGAATATGCCTTTAATGGAAATGACCATTAGAAATTTTAGTGAACACTTTTCTCGAGTAGTCATAAAAAGGCATACTACTGAGCTGGAGATCCACTAGGTTTCTACTTCTCCAATTCTTGGAAGGAATGGAGATCCACTAGGTTTCTACTTCTCCATTACTCACAAATTATGCTTTGTAAAAGGTCCAAGTCTGGCACACCCAACAAAGGCTTCTATTACCCCACAAGGACTAGTTGAGAATTGTGAAACACAGTTTTGAATTAGTGAAAAATGGAAATGTAAAGATGATATTCGTATGCATATACATATATATATATATATATATGTATTTATGTATATGTATATCGTGATGTGATATTTAACCCCCAAAATAGTGGTCAAACTATGCTTTTCTAAAACATTTATCACTGGGAGTTTGGATAAGCATACCTCTTTGCTCCACTACTGCGCTGCAAGATCAATTATCTTGTGGTCTAGCGGCACAAAGCATTTCCACTATGAGGGTCTTCACATCCCTGAAAGGATAAAGAGCAAGTATAACTTTCAATAAAGGAATCATATAAGCGTCGGTTTGTTTCACTGTTTAACTGAGTTCAACTTAGTTTGAACGGTGAACATAGTTTGAAGTTATGTTTGGTAAACACGCAATCCAAATTATATTTCCCATTGAACTGAGTTAAATTGTCTAACTTAGAGTTTAGCTCTCCCTTTAAGTTGAACCACTCAAACTTAAAATTTTAACCGCACATCCAAACGCCAATTCGAACTACAATTTAAATCACACAGTTTGAATTTTTCTATCCAAATGTAAAAGTTCTAATTACAAAAATTCAAACCAGCGAACCAAACGGGGGCTAAGCTTACACAAACAAATGCACTTATAACCTAAGCAATTCAGCAATACGGTCACATCCCTAAAATGGCAAAGAAGCATAACCCAAAAAAAGCTAAGCTTACACAAACAAATGCACTTATAACCTAAGCAATTCAGCACTACGGTCACATCCCTAAAAGGGCAAAGAAGAAGCATAACCCAAAAAAAAAGGAAATTTTTTTTGTCATCGATGGACTATGAAAAACTAAATATTATAAATCACACAATTGCAAAGTTAAAACAAGACTCTCCAAGTATAATCTGACATAACATGAGAAAAGGTATAACTCAGGGAAGATATAATCATTGATAAAGAAATCTCACTTTCGATCTTCTGCGCGTCTAGGGAAAGGTATTCGGAGCTTAAAAGTACTCCCTTGATAACCCGCCTAAAAAGAGAGAGCATCAAACAGTAAAGGAAGTTGCATACCAGCATGAAAAAGAGAATTATAGGAAGAGTTGAACAATAGAGTAGTCAATAGCACTTCTATATATAAAGGCGAATAAGAAAAAAAATCAAATAGTTTGGTAGAAAACAATTTTTTTTAGGACGTACGTAAAATAGCATCAAGGACAAGAGGTCAAATCTCAACACTACCTTGACATTGAAACCAAGGCTATCCAAGTCCAGCATGTGAGCAAAGTCGACCTGGAGAAAACTCAAAAATTCAGATTTCAAGTACACAATGTATTAATAGTCTTGGGTTGTTTTTTCTATTGGCCCCTGAGGACACACACTTGTCTTACTTTGACTTCCAACCTTTATGTTTTTGGGTTTAAAAAAAGAAAAGATTTGAAAAGAAAATCTACAAAGGAAAAAAAACATATATGAAACAAAAAACAGATTGTGCCACCCAGTCCAAGTCTATTTTTTATTTTATTTTCAGAATTTTTTTACATCTATATATATATATATATACACTCGCATGCGCACACACCATCTTATATCTCTTAAAACCCACCCCTATGCAATATTCTGTCTTACAATAGATATTTTATTAATAGATGGGTCAAAACTATTTATTTCAAATACGTCAGGTATCGCTAGATCTCTAAAAGTAAATGTCAAAGGTCAAAGTGAAACAACATACATTTCCTAGAGGGGTATTGGTGAAAATAACACTATAGTCTTTATATATTTCTATACTTTCTTGACTTAACAAATCTACGTGGTGTAGCTATTATACGTTATTGTCTAAACTCCGATGTGTGATATTGCACATCTAGAAAAAAAGATTGATGAGTTAGCATAATCTAAATGAATGACAATGAATTAAGGATCCCCGTGCTTACTATAAAAAAACGAGGAATACAAAGAAATAAAGCAAACTTCAAATTTGAAAACGATATACGAAAGAAAAAAAAAATCTAAGTTACCGGAATTGATGTTGAATGTTGCACGATGGCTTTTGTATCATCAGCATGATCCTTGTTCATGTGAGACTAGAAAACAATAATTTATACGTAAAACCAACAAAATCAAAAGATAGAGATTGCATGGTTTGTTTGATGATTATACTTACCGTGACAGGCTTAGAAAACTGAGCTATTGGATCAACTTTTGCAACTTTATACTCCTCATTGCTGAACTCTAAAGGTTGGAAAAAATATATATACACGAAACAAGAGAAGCAAACTGAGAAGATATAACAACATTATCAAATATCAATAAAAGAACAACGATACTGGCCCTTTCTTAAGTTATCTGGAAAGCATAAAAGAGAAAACCCTAAGATCAGACTACAATTTATAGAAAGGGAACCAAAAAAGTAACATATTGCTGTATAAAGCACAAACCTCCTGATCCTAACAAAGCTGTTGCAACCCCCGACACATATCGTACAACTTTTGGTTCAATGCGCATGAATTGAAAGTCACCAAAGTCAACCTTCAAATTAAAGACGTGATTTACTAATTCGACCAAATGAAATTATGTTAGACATATTACATGCCAAAATATCAATTATGGTTGAGAACAAGAGTTTGTTAATTTACCCAAAATGCATTTGGAAGCGTAGCCAAATATGTACTGCGAACTGCTGCTCTATCATTTTCAGAGACCTAAATGGTAATGTACTCTTCAGTCTTTTCACCATACAAACATTATCGTTAACAGAGAGGCAAAAAATGGGTATCAAAACACGGCTACAACTTACAGGAACAGCATTGCCATGCAGAGTGATTACTAAATCAGTCCTATCTTCAGGATCTCTAGCCACAAGTAGTGAGCACTTAGCATTAGCACTTAGGTCCTATGCAGAACAAAAAAGCAGAACCTTGAGAAGACTAAAATATACAACAGAATAACATAAAATGAAAAATGTGACACAAATGTCGAAACAGATGCAAAGTTGAACTTACAAAGAGTTTTGTACCAGAAGTAGATGAATTGATCATAAAATCTGGTAATAAAGCATCTATTTCATTTTCTCTTATAAGAAAAGCTCGTTTCATTGATAAAAATAGATCAATTTTACAAAGGAAGGAGGATGAGGAATCCTCTAAAAATAGAAAGATAGAATAAACAAAACAGGAAGACAAAAGAAAGATAGGACTCTAAAAAGAAGAAAAACAATTAGCTTCTAATAACATCCCTCCAGTTTAACGCAATCAAAGAGAAAGGAAAATCCTTGAAAGCTGTATCTGTTGAAGGCCACAATGAGGCTGATTTTTTAGCTTTCTCAAACAAATTGTTAGGAGTGGTATTAAAAGCAATGAAACAGCAAATTAAGACAGGATTGGATCGATCAAATTAGAAGAAATTCAATTCACTGTAATAAGGAAAATGGAAAGATAAGGGGGTTTTCAAGAGAGCCTCTGCACTCCAAGAGCCTTAGCTCATTCAGTCTCCTAATTCACAAAATGATCGATGATCTACAATACCCTCCCTCATCACGTTTTATTCCAATTCCTCTAACTAACCAACCAACTCGTCACTCTCTCTCCCTCTCCCCCCTTCACGTTTTCATGTCAGCCCTCTAGATCCTTCCCAGCCAACTAACCAATCTCCAAGGCCGATTCTGCGAACTAAGCTTTCCAGAAGAAGAATCCATACCATACAGTGTAGGATTATTCCCCTGCTCCCCTTTAATGTCCAGGCCTGTTTCTTCGGGAATTTCTTGTGCCTTACATAAGTAAAACGCAAAGGCGGCCTATTACATATCCATCACGTTCGTTACATTATCTTTATATATATATATATATATATATATAAGAAACGGGAGAATATTATTAATGGATAATGGAACAAAAAAGTACACTACGGGACAAGGAGTCCACCAAAGCAAACAAAACAAAACAAGAAGAACTAGAAGAACAGGACTAATGAAGGACTATATCCCATCCTCTAAGTAAATCTGAAAATGAAAATGAATTGAAGCCTTTAACTTGAGATAACTACAATGCCACACTAAATTTAATTTTGTCCCACGCTGCATCAACATCCCCATCTAAATCCTCAAAAATACAGTCATTCCTCTCTAGCCAAATAGCCCAAGTGACAAAGGCCGTCTATTATATATCCATCGCGTGTGTTATAATATCTATATATATATATATATATATATATATAAGAAACGGGAGAATATTATTAATGGATAATGGAACAAAAAAGTACACTACGGGACAAGGAGTCCACCAAAGCAAACAAAACAAAACAAAAAGAACCTAGAAGAACAGGACTAATGAAGGACTATATCCCATCCTCTAAGTAAATCTGAAAATGAAAATGAATTGAAGCCTTTAACTTGAGATAACTACAATGCCACACTAAATTTAATTTTGTCCCACACTGCATCAACATCCCCATCTAAATCCTCAAAAATACAGTCATTCCTCTCTAGCCAAATAGCCCAAGTGATGGAAAGCAGCCCTCTAGATCCTTCACGTTCGTTACATTATCTTAGAAAATCCTTAAGTTTCTCTCCATCCAAATTGTCCAAATCAAGGATAGTACTGTACTTTTCCAAACAAATCCATTCTTCCACCAACAGCAATCAATTCTTCCACCATTAAATATTTACAGTGTAAGAGAAAACCTGCTCCAATCAGTTTGTTCCAAAGTCTCCTAGTCACAAGACAATGTAGCAAGAGATGAACTATTAATTTCCAGTCTCCTTTTTACATAACACACCAAGAAGGAGAGTATACAACTTAAGATTTTTCCTTTGAACACTAGAACAAGTTTTTTTTTTTTTAAAAGCAACAGAACTTATTTAGGAAAAATAGAAATGTAGAAGCAGAGGAAGAGTTGATGACGAATTAGATTAGGATTATTTTAATATTTAAATTCAATTTAGGATTATGTTTATCTTTTGAATTTATTTATGTTTATCTCCTTTTTAGAATAGGATTAGGATTTCATTCTCTATATATAAATAGATTAGTGATTGTTATTTTTATGAAGGCTTTTGATGATTAATGAATATTGAGATTTTAATTTCCTCTTATTAGGTTCTTATTCTCTCTCTATTTCTGTTTCTCTTGTGATTAGTCTTTCTCTATCTTGGTTCTATTTCTCCTTCTTGATTATATTCTCTCTAAATTCAATCTATCTTCTTCAATTCTACCCGCTCCTACATCAACTGGTATCAAAGCGAAGTCATTTCCTTTGACCAGACCTATCTTTTCTCTTTCAGTTACGTATACCCAAAAAAAAAGAAAAAAAACGTTTTCTGTCAAAAACCATCCACAAAAAGCCGCCACCATTCAGACTCCCATCGCCGAGCACCAACCAGAGAACACGCACAAAGTTACAAGGTGCCTCTGCTATCGTGTTTGCAGACTTGCAGCTCCTATCGTGGCTTGCAGTGCTTATTGTTGGTTTCTTCATTTTGTGGGCCGAGACTTAGCAAAGCTTTTGCCTTCCGCCATGGGTCATGCTTTGATTTTGTGTTGGTAAATTCTCTATCCTTATTTTGAAACTTTTCTATAATTTTATTAGATGGTTATTTGATAATGTGTATTCGATCCATTTAAACAAAACATATGAATTTTCCACCCTATAACCCGCCATATTCTCGTTATCACAACTTTTATTATGATAGGCAATTTAGCCATGCTCTTGAGAATTCCTATAAACTAACGGAAGATTATGTTTGGGTCATAAATTACACGGGTTATTTTCACACTTTTCTCTCGGTCCAAAATACTCCTTGGAAAATTGTTATTGATGAGAGTAGTGAGATTAATGTTGTGTCATCTAATTTTGTCAATCGTTTGAATCTTGACATTGAGCCTCACCCTAGACCGTTTTGGGTGTATTGGGAGGATAAGGGTTATTTTGCAATCACCGAAAGATGTCTATTACCTCTTAAATGTGGTCCTTATAAGCAATATGTTTATTGTGATGTCCTTCCTAATGTTACTCAGATTTTGTTAGGACTTCCTTGGGTTGATGATCATGATGTGAGATATGTTGAAGGGAATCAATACGTTTTTAGACTGCATAAGAAAACTGATTTGAAACCTGCTAAACCAAAAGAAAAAGCCTATATGTCTAAGCCTATTCTCCCTTCCCCAATTCCTAGTGTACCAAACCCATCTACTGAGAGTGATGGTGCAAAAGATGAGGTTATGAAAAAACAAATTTATTGACACTCCTTGTCCCGAGCCTATTGTTGATGAGCCACCTCCTCTAAAAACCATTGAATCCAATTCCTCCAAATTTGTTGTTGAAAGTGGATGTAATGCATATTTACTTAAATTTCCTCCTAATTTGATTATGGAATTAATTTTCAATGAGGTAGAATTGTTTCCTAACCATGGTGATCAGAAGCCTCAAGTGTTCTTGATGTTTTCTCTACAGCTAAAATGTCTCCACAATCAACTTGCAAGCACCGATGGCTTGTTTAAGAATCCAATATTAAGGCCAAGAGATTTCATGCTTTTCAGATTGTTTCTTCATGATTCTTTTCAGTTTAAAACTTCAACCTGGGGAGAATGATGACGAATTAGATTAGAATTACTTTAATATTTAAATTCAATTTAGGATTATGTTTATCTTTTTACTATTTTAAATTTATTTATGTTTATCACCTTTGTAGAATAGGATTAGGATTTCATTCTCTATAAATAGATTAGTGATTGTTATTTTTATGAAGGCTTTTGATGATTAATGAATATTGAGATTTCAGTTTCCTCCTATTGAGTTCTTATTCTCTCTCTATTTCTATTTCGCTCGTGATTATTCTTCTCTATCTTGGTTCTATTTCTCCTTCTTGATTATATTCTCTCTCTAAATTCAATCTCTGTTCTTCAATTCTACCCGGTCCTACATCAAGAGTTTTCCTCACATAGACAAAACTGAACCAGAACCAACAAACAAAAGGGGGAGATAGATCTAACCCAAAGACACGATAACTCAAACAATGGAAATGAAACTACAGAAAAGGACCCCAACTCCTAACCAAGTTTGAAAAAATTGGCCTACCAAACTCTTTATCTCTATAAACCAAAGTAGAGACCAAAACCTTAATTTTATCCCATAAGACACCACTCCCTTCCATACACTCTTCGTGTAATCTACCATTTCTTTCTAGCCAAATGCCCCAGAAAACTACTAAAGTGGCGAGTCTCCACAGATTCTACCCCTAGGACTAAAATTAGAGGAAGGAGATAATTCAATGAACCCTAGAACAAGTATTAATTTTCCCACGTAAAACAACCAGACAAAAATCTTAACTATAGAGAACAATGGATTTCCAAATGAAATTGAAAGGCTCAAAGAAAAATTTCCCCCATCATTGGTGATGAAAGGGAAGAGAAAGAAAAAGCGAAGTGTCACAAAATCTGGAATAGACTACGTAAAAGTCTTCACTTCTCTGTCAAGATCAAAAGCATCTACTTCATTTTGAATAGCAATCATCAAAAACTACTGTTTTACAAATCATATATTTAATTAAAAGAACATAATAGTAATAGTCAAATATTCGAATAAAAAAAAAAAAAACCTTTGAATGAACTGCCAAGCTGCTAACTGCTAATATTGGAGATCCATCTGCATCACATGCGAAATCAACCATTGACCCTGACGGATAACCATCATGCTTCTACATATCAAAAGCAAGCCAAAGAAGTTAGAAATAGTGAGACGCAATTTCCAGGATACGAATTCTGCATTCAGACATGACAGGAATGCTGAAGATCATCATACAAACACTATTGTTAAGAGAATGCATAGGCCAAATGTAATACACCCTCAACAACTTCAGATAACTACTAAAAGAAAGTCCCAAAAGTCTTCTAAAAAATGTGTTAATGAGCCTTCTGCGAATTTCCCTTTTCTTGACAACCGGGAAACCCCTTTTCTCATAACTGGATAGCTTAGTGTGAACGCTATGATCACTGCAAAGTATGAAACTTGTGGTTATTCACCACGTGTAGGGTCCTACGAAACTGAACCAAGTCTTCAAATATTTCATTTACTAAGACAGTTTTGATATCAATACTAGGGAACCTATTTAATGAGGGATTTGAAGTAAAATGGAACACGCCTATTGAACGTGCATTTGTAGGGTATGGAGAAGGTTCTGCGAACAATTGAAATAAAAAGAAAGGGACAGATTTACTAGCAACACAACTGTTCAAACTGTCGCTAATTAAGAATTGCTCCAACAAAATTTTCCTACTGCATCAAAGGCTGGTTATGTCATGCAAACTAAAATTAGAGACTGGGATTTTTAAATATCTTTTCATCACTTCACACGAAAGGCATGTTCAAGGAGGAGAAAAACGAGAAAAGGAGCTGGAGAATAAGATAGAGGATATGAAAGGTTGGAGGGAATATTCATTTTCTTTTTATTTCCAGACGTCAAAATTAAGGCTATTCACTATTGATATTGTACAGAGTCCTTTTTAAAAGTCAAGACATTCCTATTTACAGTAGGCCGGCCTAGAATAATATATAACACTGAGTAACAAAACATGCAATACAAAAAAAAAAAAAGCAAGGCACCATTGGTTCTGCAAAAAGAATCCCAAGATAGATGTCTATAATTTATGATTAACGTAGCTATACCACATGCAACCCTACATCACAATCGCAGTCACCAGCTATTAAACAAACTTGGACTGACTCCGAGTTCAAAATAAACCCTTACCGTGACTTATTGACTTCACATTGAAAACTAGTAAGTGACGGAAAAATATAACCAACTAAAGCCGTCATATAGTATACTAATTAACGAGAAAAACTCCATTCAATTCAATTACATAAGATCTCAACTAGAATTATGGAATTATTCACTGAAATATCTTCCTCATTCAATGGACTTCCTTGCTATAACATAAATTCTTTTGAATCAATCTGTCTCTCTGTGTGTGCTTAGTTTGCCAGTGCGTTTGAGTTTTAGCAGTAGCTACTCAGCGAATTGCTATCTCGAAGAATAAAGTGAAAATCTCAACTCTTGTCATGAAAATTACTTACACATTGGTTATCAATCCAGAGAAATTGATTCCAGCAAAGAAATACCAAATAGTCTAGCAGAGAAACCGAATGCAGTAATTAATGTATCATTTCTAAAACCAAATGACACTTACCTGCGAAAGCGTAGAGAGCACTCCACGCACACTACGGTCAAGAACCGTACGAATCTCCTCAACTGGAGGAAGCCGAGCTGCCCTTCCCTAAGAATTAGTGGCCAGTATAACCCCACATGAATGAAATTCAAACGTACTTGTCTACAAACTACTTTTCAGATGATACTTATAGTAAACAAAACTATTTTTTTTTCTTTTTCATATATTATACAGCTTAAAGAAATCAAAATACCTGATGAGATTGAATAATCTGAAAGACATTTGTATCATCACCCCGAACTTCTCCAGTTGAAACAGCCTGATTGAAGAAACAACAACCACTTATGCATCATGCATAAAATAAGAAAACTCAAAAATAAGATAATCTCAGGAATTCAATGAAAATAAACGACCACAAAACCTGCAACAATTTTTCTTCTTATCTTTTCTTTACTATTATAACTCAGTTTCCACAACTATCAACAACTTATGCTTCATATACTCAATTGAAAAACAAAAACAAAAACAAAATAATCTGCAGTTCAATTGAAAATAAAATTAGTACAAAACCTATACCAATTATTTATGACAATCAAAATTCAACTTTTCACTGGACAACAACAACTTATGCATTCATTTCACATAAACAACCTACGCCAAGTTTGACCATTCTTATTAATTTTTTCACTACTATTAAAATAAAACAAAAATCTCCACATAATTTCTGTAAAAACAACTAAACCATTATAATTCACTCTACAAAAATAGGAAAGTCTCCAAATTATCTCTGCAATTTAAATTTAAACCTCTATTATATAAATTTCTGAGAAAGTGAGAAAAAAAAAGTGTATTTCCAGGAGAAAAGCTATAGTTACCTGAGCGGTGAAGCGAGGGGAAGAAGCCATGGAAAGACGGCGAGGCGTGGTGGGAGAGAAGAGAGATGAAGAGTTTAAAGAGAGAGAAAGAGGAGAGAGAGAGTGAATGGGAATGGAGACGCGTGGAAATGGGGAAAAGGTCGTCCATGGTCTCGCCAACGTCCTCATCGTCTCTTCCTTCGCTAACACACTCACTCAATCACCCACCTGACGTTTTTATTTTATTTTCGATATTCGCGACTCATTCTAACAACCTACTATAAAAACTCTGAAAATCCAAAAGGTATCACTCAGAAACGTTCAGTTCGTGAATTAAAATTATGTGATTAAAATTATTTTTAATTTATATGTATTTTTTATAAAAAAAAATATTATAGCGAACTATGAACCATGATTTAAATTATTATTTGAATCCTCCAACTAAACGTCCCATTAATTTCAGAAATTATTATTTTAGTGGTTGTTCTTTTGCAACGAAATTCAAAAAAAATTTGAATTTGAGTTACAATTTTATTTAAATTCACGTTCTTTTATAAAATTTGAGTTTAAACTCGAATTTGGAGCTAAACTCGAGTTCAAGTTTCTTTTTCAACTCGAGTTCATAAACTCGAACTCAAGTTAATGAACAATATTTTTTCTATTATTACAAATGTCATAACTTTTTCGTTTTAATTCTGATTGAGATGATTTTTTTTCTATGCATTCACAACAAAAAGACGAATAAAACCCCACCATATACCCTATTGAGATTTTTCATCACCATTGAGTTTTTATTAAAATACTATCTAAATACAAATTTAAGTTTTGACTTACCTAAACACAAACTTAAAAAAATTCTCAATTCAAATCATAACTCAAATGTGCACATCCCAAACACGAACTCAAGTTACAACTTTAACTCAAGTTATAACTCAAACTTAACTCAAGATCATCACTCAAGTCACCCTAACTCAAAAATGCAAAAGAACAATCCCTAAGTGAAGTGAGCTTGAGGTGTGTAGGGTTTTTTTTTTTTAAGTACAAGTATGTTAGTCTTTTTTTGGGCCGGGTAGGGTTACTCAGGTGAGCTTGAGCCCAGCCCGCGACCTTACCCGCACATTGAGGGTTAGGCTAATTTTAAACCGAAAAAAATGAAGACCCTATATTTTTAGGTATGGTAGGATCGAGTAGGCTGGGTTAGTCGAATTCGGGGTGATTCCTTACACCCCTAATATACGCCCGATACTTTTTTTCATACCATTCTACAATATGGTTTGTTAGAAAGACTTACTTATCCGTCATTTATGGATAAGATTTTATTCTTTCTATTTAAATGATTTTTTTTTCTTAGCTTGAACTATCTTTTTTTTTTCCTACTGGCTATTTTTCTTTGAACGACTTCAAAATCACTTTTTTCTTTTTCAAATTATGGGCTTGTTCTTTTGCACTTTTTTGAGTTAAGGTGAGTTGAGTTCAGATCTTAATTTGAATTAAGGTATATTTGAGTATGATTTGAGTTATGAATCTAATTTGAGTTTGTATTTGAATGTGCGCATTTGAGTTATAGTTTGAATTGAGAATCTATTTGAGTTTGTGTTTAGGTGGGTCAAAACTTGAGTTTGTATTTGGATAGTATTTTAATAAAAACTTAGTGATGATGAAAATTTTAATGGGGTATATGAGTTAAATTTTGTTCGTCACTTCGTTGTGAACTCATAAAAAAAAAGAATCAACTTAATTGGAATTAAAATAAAAAAATTATGACGTTTTTAATAATAGAGAAAATATTGTTCATTAATTTAAGTTTAAGTTTAGAAACTTGAGTTTTAGGGGGGACTTGAACTCAAATTTTAGCATCAAATTTAATTTCAAACTTAAATTAAAACTCAAGTTCAAACACAAATTTTGTAAAAGAACATGAGCTTAAATAAAGTTATAATTTGAATCCAAACTTTTTATGAGCAAAAATTGTTAGAATTTCTTAATGATCTAAACATGCTCTTAACAATCCTAAATAGTAATTAGATCAAATGCAGAATAAAAATATCGGATCGAAACACACCTCCCGCCATTGTTGTTTTCACTCACTCAAGGTTATGAAAAGTGTCTGATTCGGTTAAGGTTCTTCTAAACTTCACTCAATCTCTCGTTGATGGTGTAGAACTCGACTGAATGGAGATTGCAGGCTTAGGGACCAACCCGAGTATGCTCTGTCCCCTTTTATACACTCTGCCCATCACAGAGTACTTTGTGGACGTGCACCGGCATTGGGCAACGTGGGACATCTAAGGATCATGATTCTGAACGTGGTTAAGCACGTTTCTGATTGATGGAAGAATGTGGACCACATTCTGTGCAAAACCTTCTGTTGGTTACCGAAGTTAAAGGAAAAAAATCCAACATTCTCCCACTTGGTCCATATATTCCATCATTCACCACAGTAAAAAAATAAAATACATGAATCATGGCGATAGGTCCTCTAAAAACGAGTATTATCTTCTATGTATTATAATGCATAATATTTCTCAATAATAGCCCATATAACTTAATGAATAAACCCTATGGTTATTCTAGGTCCAAAAATTAATGATATTTCTCAACAAATAAGTGAATGTGTACCCAAGAAAAATCAAGTATGAGTAAACATCACCAATAAAGTTTCATTAAAAATAACATCCGTTCTTACAACGAAAATTACACAAAAGAACCAAGTCTCATTCTATTATCTTCTATGTATTATAATGCATAATATTTCTCAATAATAGCCCATATAACTTAATGAATAAACCCTATGGTTATTCTAGGTCCAAAAATTAATGATATTTCTCAACAAATAAGTGAATGTGTACCCAAGAAAAATCAAGTATGAGTAAACATCACCAATAAAGTTTCATTAAAAATAACATCCGTTCTTACAACGAAAATTACACAAAAGAACCAAGTCTCATTCTATCTACATGATTCTTAAATTTCAATAGTAGCATGCCTTTAGTCAAAGGATCAACAATTATCAATGTAGTATTAATGTGTTCAATAACCACTGTTTTATCCTTAACACGTTCTCTTATGGCTAGATACTTGATGTTGATATGATTGCTTCGACTACCACTTTTGTTGTTTTTAGCCATAAAAATAGCAGCTGAATTGTCACAATATATCCTCAATGGCCTAGAAATCGAATCCATAATTCTAAGCCCATAAATGAAACTCTTCATCCATACACCATGCAAGGTAGCCTCAAAACAAGATATGAACTCAGCTTCCATAGTGAAAGTAGCAATCAATGTTTGCTCTGTGCTTCTCCAAGATACAACTCGACCAACGAGCATAAAAACATATTCTGAAGTTGATTTTAGCGAATCAATGCAACCAGCATATTCTGAATCATAGTAGCCAATCACCTACAAGTTTTCAGTCTGTGTGTACATAAGCATGTAGTCTTTATCCTCTTGAAGGTACCTCATCACCTTCTTTGCAGCTCTCTAGTGGTCCACACCTGGATTACTCTGATATCTTCCCAATATCCTAACGGAAAATGCAATGTCACGTCTTGTGCAGACCTGAGCATACATCCGGCTTCCAAAAATAGAAGCATCAGTAATGTTTTTCATTTGTTTCCGTTCAAGATCATTCTTCGGGCACTGATTCGAATTGAACCTGTCACCCTTCACAATAGGAGCTATACTAAGTGAACCATCTTTCAACCGAAATCTCTCTAAAACCTTGTTGATATAGGTATCTTGAGACATACCTAAAATACCTCAAAATCCGTCTCTATTTATTTTGATGCCACTAACATACAACGCATCGCCCATATCCTTCATGTCACAGTTTTCAAAGAAAAATTGTTTCACTTCATATAGCAAACCCTTATCATTGATTGCAAGTAAAATGTCATCCACATATATAATAAGGGAACAAATCTTTCTCCCACTAACCTTCTGGTATATACATTGATCCATAATTTTCCACAAAACCAAATGAAGAGATAACATCATGAAACTTTAAATACCATTGACGAGAGGCTTGTTTCAATCCATATATGGATTTCTTGAGCCTGCACACCAAATGCTCACCACGACTAGAAGGAATCCTTCTAGTTTTTTCATGTAAACCTCTTCTTCTAGTTCTCCATTGAGAAAGGCTGTTTTCACATCCATTTGTTGCAACTCTAAGTCAAAATGTGCAACTAACGCTAGAATAATGCGAAGAGAATCTTTCTTAGATACAGGAGAAAAGGTCTATGTAGTCGATTCCTTCATTTTGAGTGAATCCTTTAGCAACGAGTCTTGTTTTATATCTTTCAATGTTGCCCAATGAATCTTTCTTCGTCTTATAGACCCATTTACACCCTATGACTTTGACACCATCAGGCAACTCAATAAGATCCCAGACTCCATTAGTTGCCATAGAATTCATCTCATCTTTCATGGTATCATACCATAAATTTGATTCTTTAAAATTCATGGCTTGTGAAAATGTTTTAGGATCATTTTCGACTCCAATGTTGTAGTAAGACTCTTGTAGATACACAACATAATTACCTGGTATCATTGATTTTCTTACTCTAGTAGATCTCCTTAAAGTTGTATCAACATTTTCCTGAGGATCATGTTGTCCAACCGGTTGTTCAATAATTTATGGCAATTATTGAACATCTTGATCTACTAGATTATCATCAGTAGTTTGTGGAACTTCCATAATTGGTTGTCCAACACCTGTTTGAACTTGAGGGGTGTTGTGAATGACAATCAATCTATCACTTGAAGTGAAAAGTTAAGTATCAATATGATTCCTTTCAGAAACAATATTCTGAAATCGATCGCTCCTACTAATCAAGTTATTTTCAAGAAACTTTGCATTTCTTGATTCCACAATCCTAGTGCTGTGAGATGGACAATAGAATATGTATCCTTTAGACCTTTCAGCGCATCAGATGAAATATCCACTAATGGTCCTTAGGTCCAACTTCTTTTCACGTGGGTTATAAACTCTTACTTTAGACGAGCATCCCCAAACGTGCACATGTTGCAAACTCGGTTTCCAACCCTTAAATAACTCAAAAGGTGTCTTTGGAATAGCCTTAGTTAGAACTCAGTTCAATATATACGCTGCCTTTTTAAGAGCTTATGTCTATAAGAATTCAGGAAGCTTGGAGTTACTACGCATACTCCGTACCATGTCCATTAAGGTTAGGTTTCTTCTTTCTCCTACACCATTCTGGTCTGGAGAACCAGGCATAGTG